GGTTTGTCGTTCTTTTTAACTTCTTGAAGACGCTGGTGTGGTATATGATTAATTGTAGTGATATGCAATTATAAATGTTTTTATATCGTTCCCTTCAAGTTATGTTAACCCTGAATTGGGGCACGATATTATTGAATAGGGTACATCACTTCAGATTGGTCATTCGAGTCCGTTTTAAAGTTGATTTTTAACGGTGATGATATGTATCTCAATGGAGTCTATTTGGAACAATGTCAATCTAATGAGCTTCTACTTTTCAACAGAAATTCGGTTGTGTTATATCCCAACATCTATATCTGTGATTATTTACTTTAACATATCGATCTTAAAAACGTGTTGAATAACTTCTGCGTTTGATAATAACCTTCAGTTGTTATTTTCTTTCTATTTGGTTGATGAATTAAGTTCTAGTTAGTGTGTTTGTCAATCTCCAACTCATGTAAACACTATGGGGTTCAGAAATCCTTTACTGCTCTTAGAACCCTAGCATGGAGTATTTTTCGTGTTCGTGTAGTCGATTTGAAAAGAAGGAAATGTGTAATGACTACTTTTTTCTCTCAAATGAGTAACTTCGCATGTGTTGAAGACCTTTGTACCAATCACTTGTTTAACAGTATCGTCGTTTAAATTGTATTTGCTAATCCCGGTCAAGTTTCTGTTTCTGCGTTAGCTTTCCTTTGGCTTTTAATAAGTTCTAATACACATTGAAGTGCTTTCATCTCTTCTAACTATCCCAACGACTGATGCTCGGATGAAGCAAATAAAAAAAACATTCTGTCAAAGTCTGACCAATCTGTAAAAGATCAGGTTGCGCAATCCTGTTGCAATCCGGTACTGGTGCAAAAGTACCATGGTAGCATGCTTTTTACCTATTTAACTCTTTGACTTGAATACATTTATGCTTTTCATTCTGTTTCAATTTTCACTCTCAGTGCCTTATCTATTTGCCTACCAATATATTACTTAGCTGTAGATTTAGTTATTTCATAATGTGCATCATTGTAGTGTTTTATTTTGACTATCTGAGATAGCCGTGGTTTGGCAAACTTGTATTGATACTGGGTGATGATTGAAGGTAAAATGAAAATTTGGACCGCGACTGGATTCGAACCACCGAGTTTTCGGCCCAGTACTCTACCAACTGAGCTATAAGGCCCGACTGCTGACCAGATTTTTATTTCGCTTCAATTTTATTTAGCATTTTACTTCATATAGATTTATCACTACTCGACTGTCATATCTCATTTTTACACCTGAGCACAACCTGTCTAACTTAATGCTTGTCATTTCATCACTTTATGTGTGTGTGTTTGATGGTTTAGACATTCGGTGTTAATTATTTGATATACACAGAATATTTAGGAGGGTTTTAGAAGTTATTAGGAACCTCTCATGATAGAGTATCTTCACATAAAATGAAATCTGATTTGTCTAACTGGAAATGAAGGACTCGATTTTGACCTCTCATGAGTTGAAATAATCTGCACTAAGAAGTGTAATTCTGTATGCACATGTTTGCATCATTTTACAGCTCACATACCTTACATTATACATATTTTTGTCATATTGTCTTCAACCACTTAACAACTTGAAATCATTCATGCAGGAGAACTGTGATGAAGTTATTATCTTATAGGTTTTGATATGATGAATTGCATTCTATTATTGCCTTGACAAGACTACCACCGTCAAACAGTAAAAACCACATTGTTGTAATCTTTATTCATTTAAAAAAATAGACACCAAAATGTTTGTAAATGTCATTTATCTGGTAGATTCTATTCATTCAGTGAATTCTAGTTAAAAACTGATTAGGAGTTGTAGCTTATTGGTCCAGGCAGTTGACCTTCAACCTATGGGTCGCGGGTTCGAACCCCACTGAATCTACCGAGGTTGTAGTGTATCATTAGCCCTCACGCAATAGGTGTGGCTCATTGTCAGTTACACAGATGTGCACATGATTACTTAATGAGTTTTGAAAAACTGACTGATGCACTCCATTACTACTTTTAAGAGTTTCATCCCGAAATCTTCAATCATTTTGCTGTCCACAACAAGATCATCGTGTTTAGCAGATTAATCATGCGCTACTAAACATTTTTTACAGAACATATTTCATCAAATTTTTCATTTTCATTCTATCTTTTATGTATGTCTTTTAAATGTATATTGTACTATCGCAGATTTTGAAAATGTTTTCGCACTGCCGTTTTACTCAAGCTGACAACTAAACAAATAAAAAACTTTACCCTGGATGGAAGTGGACACAAATATGCAGCATATTTCTATTCCTAAGATACCTATGTGGAATCGCTGATTTTTTTTACTGGCTGAATAAACAATATATAACAACCAAAAATACGCTCAACTTACGATTCACTCACCAGTCCAGACCAGACACTAATGCAATACCGGATTCCTGTTTCACATTGTTGCTTATAATACTGTTATTGTTAGCAGTATTCAGATGCAATAACTATTTCGTTTAAGTGTCGTGTGGGGAGGGTATCTGTTGAAATATTACTTGCTGAGAATTCCATACTGTATTAGACATGCTGTTTAGAATAAAGCGATTATTATTATTTATGTAATCATATTGCAATGGTGGAGAATATTTGTAACTCAGGTAGATGATCTTAGTTGTGCAGTGTTCTCTGAGCTGGGTTGTTTAATCGTGGAGCTTTCGTCGTCATTCTAGACGACATCATGACCATTAACCTCAGTATGAAGTGAGCTATCAATATCTTCGTGTGAGTGATTTAGCATCTTGGGCTGATGAAGTGGTTTGTGATTGGTTGTTTCTATCAATTGTTGTGTCATTGACTGTATAGACTTTCCTGCTGCCTGTTCCTCTGCTTGACCTTTGACCTCTCTGTCGTTTATCACTTTTCTTATTGGTTGATAGATTTGATCTATGTATATACATCTATTGATTACTGACTGACCTGAATGCCGAGCTTCTAGAAATTCTCTGATATTCTTTGTGTTTCATCTGTCCAAAATTTCTACATTGTCGAAATTGAATTCATGTCCATAATTATCCACGTGCATTGAAATGAGTGACGAAATGTCGCGGCATTTAATAGCCAATTGGTGCTCATGTAGACGAAGGCGACGAGGGCGACCGCTTTGTCCAATGTTGTGCTGACTACAGTTATTGCAGTTGATTTTGTAAATGATATTCGGTTTGTCTTCTTTGTTTGTTGTATCCTTTGGTCTGCATAATAGTGTTTGGAGGGAATTTGTTGGTTTATGAGCCACACCAATTCCAGGTGGTCTCAGCAATCTTGTTGTGATTTCTGATATATTCTTTATGTATGTTGGGACGATGCGTTTGTTGATTTCTGTTGATGACTTTTTAGTTGATGCAAAAGTACAGGATAGTCATCTTCTGATAAAGTTTTTTGGGTATCCGTTCTTCTTTAGGGTGGACATCAGATAATTTTCTTCGTTTCTCCGTGAAGTTGTTGTGCTGCAGTGTGTTCTCACTCTTTTGAATGGAGTCTGTACGCAACTGATTTTGTGTGTTGTTGGGTTATTGCTATTGTAGTTGAGGATTTGGTCAGTGTGTGTTGGCTTCCTGTACACTTGGGTTTCCAGCTTTCCGACATTTGTCCTGCTGACTAAAACATCCAGGAATGGTAATTGGTTGTTTGACTCTCTCTCCATTGTGAATTTGATGTCATTGAAAACGTTGTTGATCGAACTGTGGGTGTTTTCTATATCATCCCTTTTAATGATGACAAAGGTGTCGTCTACATAAGGAATCCAAATTTTTGGTTTGATCACAGGTAGAATAATGAGTTCCAGTCTCTGCATCACTGCTTCTGCTATTAATCTGGATATCGGTGATCCCATTGGAGTTTCTTTCATCTGTTTGTATATCTTGTCGTTGAATTGGAAGTATGTTGTCATACAAAAGTCGATGAGTTCCATCAGACTTGAACATTTGAGTTTTGTGCGTTCTGAAAGGTTTTTGTCTTCATTGATCAGGAGGGATTTGGTTTGCTTGGCCAATTGAGGTTCGATGGATGTGTATAGTGCTGTAACATGGAAGGATATCATTAATTCATCGTTTTCTTTGTTAATATTATTAATCTTTTCTAAGAATTCTGTTGGTGACTTGATGGAATGTCCTCATGATTGAACGAGGTGTTTCGGTTTTCTCGAAAGTTCTCCTGATATGTTGTATGTCGGCGTTCCCTGAAGTGAGACTATTGGTAGTAGAGGGATATCGGGTTTGTGTAGTTTTGGTCTGCCGTAGAATCGAGTAAAGATAGGTTCATTCGATTTCATACGCCATTTGTCTTGCTTTGTTATTTCTTCTGCTTTGAAGAGTTTGTTCAAGGTTTAATGATCTGGTTGTCGAACTTATGTATAGGGTTGGTTTCAAGTGGTTGGTATACATTTTTGTCTTTGAATAATTCCTCTGCTTTGTTGATGTGGTCTTCTTCGTCCATGACTACCGTAGTACGTCCACCACCTAGAATTGGTGTGGCTCATAAACCAACAAATTCTCTCTGAACACTATTATGTAGACCAAAGGATCCAACAACCAAAGAAGATAAACCGAATATCATTTACAAAATCAACTATAATAACTATAGTCAACATTACATTGGACGAAGTGGTTGATGATTTGCTCGAATGTCCACTCATATGATTGGATGAGGTGTTTTCAGTTTTCTCGAAACTTATCTTGATGTGTCGTATGTTGGAGTTCCCAGAAGTGAGACTAGTGGTATGGTTTGTGTAGTTTCAGTCTACTGTAGAACCGAGGATTAAACAACCGACTGAGCAACCTAGCTCAAAGAACACAATACAAGCAAAATGACGATCATATCTTCAGTTTTGGGTTTGATATTTCCAACCCATTAGTCGACTCCTTATTTTTATTTTCCCACTTCTGTGTCGATATTTGCCATTCTGTTCATCGTATTGCACCTTTCTAGTGATCCTCGTTGTATAATGCTCTTTTTCGTCTACTTCTTGAATCTTAGATGCTACAACTGCTGATGGTGAAATAGCTGATCCTATTAATTTGGTACCTGTTCGAAATCCAACAACTTCTCGACCTAGATTCATTGTACCGCCTAAGTTAGTTTCGCATTTTACACTGTTTCTAATGTGTGTGTGTTTTTGTATATCATATATCGTCTCCTAAGCATATTTTTCAAATTTCAATGAATATGAATATGGTTTATCCGTGATTATCGAAAAATCAAGTGATTTATGTGCTCAAATTAATTTCTTAACGTATGTAACATTTATATTCTTTCTAATTCAGTGCTCAAGCTTATGAGAGCTGTAAACTAGAAATTCGACACAAGTTGCCTGTTCCATTTATCATTCTCTACCCGAATATTTTACTGATTGATACTGAAAATTATGAATTTCGGTTCATGCACCATCGCATCATCCTTTGGAAATCTCTGCATGAATACAAAAGGGCTCGGTTGGCTTTTGTCAACTTAAGGCCCACCTGTGGTGTCGCCGTGATATCCGGTTGTCTATTAAGGATCGCGTGTACTGCACAGTAGTCCGGTCTGTTCTACCGTTTGGCTGTGAAACATGGCCATTGCAGGTGGAAGACATGAGAAGGCTTCAGATATTTAACCGCTGTTGCCTTCGTAGTATAGGTGGTATTCTATGGTGTCACGACGTGAGTAACGCAGAAGTCAGGTGTAAAGTTTTGGGAAGGAGAGGTAAGTCAGTTGATACGGTCGTAAACCTTCATCGACTGAGATGGCTGGTTGGAATATGTGTTACGTTTGTCTAGTCGCCGTCCGGGTCGTTACACAATGTTGGCCGAAGTAGGTTCAGACTGGAAAAAGGCTCGAGGCAACCAGACTGAAACATGGTATCACTGCATGAACTATTTGACTGTTGGTTTGAGCTATGTGGGATGATGGAGAGTAACCGGTTGGGATCCACAAGAGAAGAGGAACCAATGGATTCTGGAGACTCTAGGTGATATGACTGATAACCTATGTCAGTGGTGCAGATGTATACATACATTGTCTTCACTATTTTAATGCTATATCGAATCTCAGCATTTTCTCATTCTCGGTTTCTCTCTTTTATTACTTTATATTTCTTTTGATTGAATTTCCTTTTCTTCATCTTCCACTTCATTGCTTTTTTACTTGATGTACTGACTGATATGAGGTGTGGCAACTCGAACTGTTTTGCAGTAATACCTGGTCCTATGTTGATTAGGATGGATGGACGACAAAATATTGGAAGTATCTCATACAGGAAGCAATTGCTATCTGTTGAATATGCTGATCTTAATAGTCGTTAGATGACACATTTCACGTAAAAAATTCTTATATTACTCGTCTTTATTTGCCATGCTTCATTATTAATGTTTGCGAAAGACTTTCATAGATAGTCGACTCATCTATTGAGTTGTATGTTTGGACTCAGTCTACACATATGAATTATCTAACATGGCATTCGCATATCAAGTGGGTTTCAAAGCATTATGCTCGAATCTGTGCGTCATTTTTAATTTATATTTTTTTGTTCTATCGAACACCTTATCAGAATAGAAACGAACAAATTTACATTTACTATTGGAAATTTATTTATATTTCGGATTTCAACGTCGCTCGTTGGTATTAATCGGTCAAGCGGTGAGGATTCTACGTGTGCTTCTCATAATCGCCCCCTCTCTCTCTCTCAGTGTCTTTTTAGTTCCCCGTACAAAGCAAAGCGATAATCAGCATCTTTCATCTCGATGTTTATTTTATGAAATCGATTACTCCACAACTCCAACTCATTCAGCACCCGTTGATGTCTGACAATAGTGAGCCTGTTGGATAGTTTCTAGCAGTCGCAAATGATCGAAATAAAAAACCTGATCTAGTGGATTACTGCATTCGTTTGTATGCGTGTGCTGTTATTTTACTTGATACTTCTCTTTCAATATGTTAATTGAAACAGATTTTGTATGACTTTTCTTTGAGTCAAAGAAAGAATAAAGCGTATGAGTAGTGTGGTACCAGAGCACTAAAGCATTCATTGTCATTTTACATTTCTAGGTGGTTAGTGTTGGTTTTACAATGAAGCATCTTACTGTTTACCTTGTTCTTTTATAATTTTATCCACTTACTGTAGATTTCAGGTTATTCATGTTGTTTTGCCTTATTTATTGTTTAGTTCAGCATTATCCTTATTAAATGATGATGAAGATCCACTTGAAACTCTTCAATCATATGAAGGACCATCGTCTAGTCTTGATCATCGTCTCAAGGTTGGTTAAAGTAATACTTTAGTTTTATTTTTCATTTAAAGATTTGTTTGCATAATCGTCAGTATGCTTCTTTTCCTATTGTTGCTTAAAGCTCAACCACCTGACAAAATTTATTTCAATCATTCGAAAGTTATGATTAGATCTTGCACTTTTCGTAAAAGAAAAATTATTTAGGCAAACATGCGTTTTATCTTGTGGTTTATTGATGAATTTTAGGTTGGAATTCATCATGGACTGACATAAGTTGGGGGAACATTGAAAACCTGGGAGCACCGAACACTTGTTTCGTCCTAGAAAGGGACTCCTCAGCAGTGCGCACTCATGACCCGATCCCGCCAGGGATTGAATCCAGGACCTTCAGGTTACGTGGCCAGCACGTTACCACTGAGTTAGCCACTGGGTCGGAATCCGATGGCCCATATTTCCTACTTCCATCAGTTGCGACCCAGTGGCTCAACGGTAACGTGCTGGCAATGGAACCTGATGGTGCTGGGTTCGATCGGTGGCGGTGTGTTGATAGGCGCACACTGCTGAGGAGTCCCATACTAAGACAAAACAAGTGTCCAGTGTTTTTAGGTTTCCAATGTTCTTTCAACTGATGTCAATCCATCATGAGTTCCAGCCTATCAACTACATTTGTTTATTTTAACTGAATAGTGACCCTTAGCTCTTGATATTTACTCGTTCAACTTTTTCTAGTAGTATTATATGTGCTAGCTGAAGGATAAAAACCTCAAACCTGATTGGTCTATCCAGCAGTTCCTAGTGTGGCCTTTAGAGTTGTTGGAAGACGAAGCTAGATGGTTAGTCCAGTCGATGCACAATTATTTGTATTTAGTGAAATATATATGAAGTGTACAAGGCTTTAATATGTAGGCGGCCTAGTCAGAATTCAAAGGAATGAGAACAAAAATATATGCAGGATACTCGATTGTTTGATTGTAACTCTCATTCTTTCTTGCCACGCGGATATAACATAATACTAACTTGTAGCAACGTGGTTCATTGGTTTAGGTATTCGACTCTTCACGGAGTGCTATGTGCAACTCAGTATATAAGCCCCTAACACAGTCACCATCAAGACCAATATAGGACCAGGCATTACTGCATAACAGTCCAAGTTGCTACACCTCATATCAGGACGTCAAGTAACAAAGTAACGAGATGAAAGTTAAAGAAAGAAAGAAAAACCGATCAAAAGCAATGGAAAACAGTATAAGATAGGAAGAGTGGGGAAATGCGGAATTCAATATAGTGGTTAACGTGATATGTGGATTAATCTGCGACTGAGATCGATTCTAAGTCATCACCTGGAGTCATTCCCCAACCACTATTTTTTGTTATTGTCATATCAACCCCAACCGACTAGTCTGCATCTCTATGCATAGCTCAAACCAACAATCAAGGACTTCATGTAATGGGATACCATCTGGGTTGTTCACGTAGGCATGACAAACTAAAAATGTCCTATTACGGTGGAACAAAGCGGTTATCGTACCAGTCCTCAGCAAGACTGTAGTTCTTACCAATCGTAGATTAAGTAGTAGATGGTTATGCGAAATGCATGGCAATATGATTCTTGAAGAACAAACTAAATTTTACTCCTTAACTAAGTTTGTCCTCACATCATCCGTCCGTATCACTTTTTTGTTTGTTTTTGTCGTGTAATTTTGTACTTTGCTTTATTCGCATTCATAATATGTTTATGGGTTTTAGGTGAATGCTTGTCTGTTCGATGTTTTAAGTGGTCGTACTGAAGTTGATCATCCATTATGTCAAGAATGTGCTGATACTCTACTACTGGCTAAACAACAATGTTTAGAATTTCAAGAAGAAGAAATGAAATGTTTACAGTGAGTATATGATTTAAGTAGTATTGTATTAATACTATCATTATTAATTATTATATATTGTTTAATGTTCGAATCTTCATCTTCCCAAAATAAATTATTCTTTATCACTCTTGACGACTCATAACTCCATTGTACATTTCATAGTCGGACCAAGTATCCCCACCGTATTTTTGTTCCACCTTACTCGCACAACTGAAAAAAGCCTCTCTGACCGATTTGCTAATAAAAGATTTTCTACACCTTGCTTTTTGGTTATGACGAAAGTGTCTTCAACGTACCTCCACCATATTCTTGGTTTTAAATCATGTTGGCTAAAATAGGTCTGCTTTCTATTTTGTGCATGTGTAAATTAACTACAGTAGGTGAGACAGGTGAACCCATTAGTACTCCACTGGTTTAACGATAAAGGTAACAAAAAGTTGAGGTCAAACATAATCTCAATGCACCACAGATTTCACTGATGGAAATATTGCATCTAAACAATAAAGAAGTATCTGACTCTAATAAACATCTAACAACTTGTATGCTTTCATCAGGCGGAATATTTGTATACAGAGAAACAACGTCAAAGCTAACCGTTGATTTATCATCTATAATTGTTTGCAATAATTTATGTTTAAAGTCTTATCAATTTTAATGACACTTACCAAGTTATCTTGTAATAGTTTAAGGACTTTTGTGAGGTATTTTGAAACGTTATATGTTGAGGAATTAGTAAAATTCACAATTGTACGAGTCCTATGGTCTGGAAAAACTTGAAAAAAGGTCTCCCATCGTGGCTGATGCCTTATATTCAGGTCATAAAATATCATTCAAAAAGAAAAATATATCCTGCAAAAGGGTTTTCTTTCTTGCAAAGAGCGGGGCATTGTAGAAGCTTTGCACATCCGTTCGTACATTTCTTCGGTCAACAGAAAAGGTGGGTTAGACATCCCACAAATATAGCATACAATAATGACTCACATAGACAGTTGCAAATAATATATGAAGAGAAGATAGGATACAGTTTCATTTCATATGATTTTTTACGAATTTACTCATGTTTGATTATTTTCCGGTATAATTTCGCTTAGTCGTCTTAATCACGTCAAATTTTCACTTCACCTTCAATCATCACCCGACATCAATACTAGTCTACCAAACCATGGCTACCTCAGACAGTCAAAATGACAATCAATATGGTGCTCTCTCTCTCTCTCTCTCTGTTTCAGTTAACTTTGAATTACGATGAGAAGTTCTGACCAGACAGCCAGTAGGAATACGATCAAGCGGTGGTAACGCATCACCAAATCTAACTGAAGTAGGGAGGGGGAGCATTATATTGATTATCGCTTTGATTATCTGAGCTAATCGTGGCAAGCTAGTTTTCGTACAAATTTTCATTTCATCTTCAATGGTTACCCAGTATAAATAACTAGTCTCCCAAACTACGGCTACCTCAGACAGTCAAAATGACAGTCAATATGATCCTCTCCCTCTCTATTTCAGTTAGCTTTGAATTGGGATGAGAAGTTCTGACCAGACAGCCAGTAGGAATACGATCAAGCGGTAGTAACGCATCACGAATTCACATGGTAATCGGGTAAAACCTTTTATGATTGAAGTGAAATAAAAATGTGGTCAGTAGTTGGACCTGGTAGGTGAGTTGGTAGAGCATCGGGCTGGAAACCCAGTGGTCGCTGGTTCTAATTTGGCCGCGGTCCATATTTTCATTTCACCTTTAATCATCACCCAGTATCAAACTATTGTGTATTTATTTTGATAGTGATTCGTGTTTTACATTAGATTGCATACAACAGTAATGTTGTTACATGATGTAGTAATATTTCAAGTTGATATAATTCAATTTCTCCATCTCGTGTGTTTATTTTTCTCCAGATTTTATCTATCGTATTTGGATTCAACAGCTGGAAGAATTGAAGCTAAACTTAAATCTAAACAAGCCTCTAAGATGAAGTCTGCAGAGACCAAACAAACTAGATCTTCACTTGAAACAGATGTCATTGTAAATGATAAACGTATTTCTAATCAGAAAGGTATTATGGGTAATGATTCAAAACCAATAACTTCTAATGATAGTAATCCCCTTCATGATAATGTTGATGGATCTGATGTTAACAACAGTGATGATAGTGATGACGACAACGAGAGTGATAATAATGATGAAACAGTTAACGACTCCGCTCTGATCGACTGTATGTTGAGCCATACATTCCATGAAGAAAATGATAATGACAATTATTTTGATGATGGTGAGGATGATGATGATGTCGATAAAGATGTAGATGCTAATGCTGACCACACCGATCCTATTCATACTACAAGAAAAGGCACTACTTGTGCTACTACTGATACAAATCCAGAGTTGAAAAGATATAAAGTTAAGTCAAGTTGTAAAAAATATGGTACAAATATTAAAGAACTTGAGCAGACGTTAAGTGTTTTACAATCAAATTTAAACGAGTTACTTTTTGAAAGTGATCGATTGGACAAACAAATTGTTCAAGATACAATAGAACTGGAAAAACGTACAGAAGAATTAGATAGGTTAGTTTTCTTCTTTATGTTTATCCATCTGGAAATTTATTGTGTATTCCTTTCTTATCTGATTATGTACTGTTCTATTTCTCATTGAAGTTTGCTGTTAAGGCGTGTATCTCTTACGACTTTATATTTCAGTACTATCTGTAAGTTTAGGTACAGTAAGATTAATCAACATCTTGGTTAGCTAATGTAATAACTTTTCAAAAGCTGACAAACTTTTAGATGGAATTCTAATGTGGGAAACCTAAATTTATATTCTATGAAGAGGTACGGTTTCAATCTTTTTGCTGTTCACTTTCTAAAGTTATTATCAGTATAGTATGTTTCTTAGCTTAGTCAGTAGAACGTTTGATCAATGTCATGTGGGCGTGAACTGATTCTCCAATGTGTTTAGTTCTTGTTGAACTGTTTTTAAATAAAAATATTTGAATTGATAACCTGCCTAAAACGTGCTCTATCAGACATTTTCCACCAAAAATACATTATTATCAAATTACTCCTTTTCAACTTGTTTTAGTGATTAAAATATATCTTTAAATCCTATTCTATACTCTCGTGCATATTTAAAATGTTTTCAACCTACCGTTTTGCAAATTAACAATCAAATTAAGAAAAAAAGTAGCCATAGCAAATGGTAATGGGATCTTAAACACGTAACAATACATCTAAAGGTTCGGGGAATAAATCATCATCATCATCATCATTATCAACATAGGACCAGGCATTACTGCGTAACGGTCCGAGTTGCCACACCTCATATCAGCACATCAAGTAAAAAGGTAGTGAGGTGAAGGATGAAGATAAGTGAATGCAGTCAAAAGAAATATAAAGTATGAGAAGAAAGGAAAGAGGAGTGACAAAATAGTGAGATTCGGTATAGCGTTGTTAAGATGAGGATAATGTGTGTATACATCTGCGCCACTGACTTCGGTTCTGAGCCATATCACCTAGGGTCTCCAACCACTGGTTCCTCTTGTCCCGTGGACCCCAACCACCTAGTCTGCATCGTCCTACATGGCTTAAACCAACAGTCAGAGACTTCATACATTGGTGCCATGTTTTAGTCTGGCCACCTCGGGCCTTTTTCCAGCCTGAACCCACCTCAGCCAACATTGTGTGACGAGGCAATCGGTGACTAGGCATACGTAGTACGTGTCCCAACCATCTCAGTCGATGAAGGTTCACAACCTCGTCGACTGACTTACCTCTTCTCCCTAAAACTCTACACCTAACTTCTGCATTACTCACATGGTGACACCACGGAATACGTCCTATACTACGAAGGCAACGGTGGTCAAATACCTGTAACCTTCTCATGTCTTCCACTTTCAATGGCCATGTTTCACAGCCATACAGTAGAACAGAGCGGACTGCTGTGCAGTACACGCGACCCTTAATAGACAAACGAATATCACGGCGGCGCCATAGGTGGCGCAAATTGGCAAAAGCCAATCGAGCCTTTTGTATCCGTGCAGAAATCTCATCGGCAACTAACCCACCGGAGTTGATCCTACTTCCCAGGTAAGTGAAGTGGTCAACACACTCAACCACTTCACTCTCTATTGTTAACCGCGGTACCGCTGAAGACCAGTCCTGGAGCAAAAATTTGCATTTGGGTGGTGAAAATCGCATCCCAAACATTCTCAAATTCCCACTCAAAGTGTTCAGAAGACTCTGCATCTTGTCAGCGTCTTCACCTAACAGGACTATGTCATCTGCATATTCTAGATCTAAGGAAAATTCACCTGTGATCCGGTCAACGTCTTTGTAATTAGGTGACGAGAGGGAAACCTCCATAAGAATATCTATGATAAAATTAAATAAGAATGGGGATAGTGGGCATCCTTGACGGACACCACTTGATGAGTATAGCTCCCTGGACAACTCACCATAGGCTCTAACATGCCCACAAGTGTTCGAGTAGAGAGCTTTCAATAAGGTGATGTACTTACTAGGCACGCCTTTCAGTGACAGACACTGCCATAAGACTTCTCGATCAACGGAGTCAAATGCCGCCTTCAGGTCGAGAAATACAGCTATTGTCGGGCGTCTGTAAGCATGCCTATGTTCCAGGACCTGGCGCAGTGTGAATATTTGGTCGATACATCCACGGCCAGGTCTAAAGCCTGCCTGGTTTTCTCGGGCTTGCTGTTCCCGAGCTCCACTCAGGCGTCGGAGAATTATAGAACTTAGGATCTTAGACACTATGTTTGTCAGGCTGATTCCTCTGTGGTTATCACAAGAGGACTTCTCGCCTTTCTTGAAGACTGGGATGATCAGTGACTTAGACCAGTCGGAGGGGATCGTATTTGATTCCCATATACTGGCTAACACTTCCGTTAGCCTGACTAAGAGAACTCTACCACCATTCTTGTATACCTCAGCAGGTAGTCCGTCTGGTCCTGCTGCCCTTCCCCGTTTCAGGCTACCTACCGCTTTCTCAACTTCTTCTAGTGTTGGGGGACCTGTCTCTATGTCCCATTCAGGGTCCGACTGGATAGCGGGCAGCGCAATGGTGGCTGGAGGCCAGTTAAACTGTTCCTCAAAGTGTTCTGCCCATCGTCCCAGTCGCCTTCCCTGCGAGTGAATCGCCGATCCGTCCTTCTCCGCTATAACCTCACTAACTGTTGTTGACCATTTCCCCCCAGTCTCCTTAATAAGTCTAAATAACTGTCTACTGTTACCGATCGCCGCTGCCTTTTCCATCTCTTTAGCCTTTGCTGCCCACCACTGTTCACGATCGTTGCGCAGACTTTTCGTCAGTTTATTTTTAAGTTGCGCTCGCTCTTCATTGTACTCAGAGCCTGCAGGGATGCATTCACGTGCATCCATTAGTTTGGAAGAAGCTGCTGATATCCACTGGCTCTTTTTAGCCATTATCTTGGAGTCGGCTACAGTCTCCAGTGCTGCTTTTACAGTAGACTGAAGATGGCACCAAGCTTCTTCTGGATGAGTGACAGTCTTTTGTTCCGATAACTGCCTAGCCAACTTCTCACTGAACACGGCTTTGGTGTTTTCGTTGTCCAGCAGAACTCGTAGTGGTTTTGTTGCCAAATTTTTTCTACGTCCATTGAGACGCAGGCATATACGTGCTCGGACCAACGCATGATCGCTGTCCAAACACGTACTCCAGAAGGAGCGGCAGTCTTCCACCGATCCTCTCCAGCGATGACTAATAGCAATGTGGTCTATCTGTGTCCATCGCTGAGTCGAGCTCGGTGGACGCCAGGTCAGACAGTGCCTTTCTTTATGTCTGAAATTTGTGCTGGCTAAAAATAGGCGGTTATCTGAGCATAGTTGTAATAGGCGATCACCGTTATCTGTACGTTCAGCTGGGATTCCGAAAGTGCCACCTAAGTGCCTTTCTGCCTCACTCAGTCTACCCACCTGTGCGTTGAGGTCACCTGCAACAACCACTACGTCCGAACGTTTGGCTTTCGAGAGGAGGTTAGACAGTTTATGGTAGAACTCGTCCTTCACTTCATCCGAACTACAGTCAGTGGGTGCGTAAGCAGAGATTACAAAGAGACAACGGCGAGTCTCACTATTCCTTTTAGTTCTCACTGTGCCGTTCAGCCTCATAGCGCAGAGGCGACTATCAACTGGGATCCAGTCTAGTAGTGAGTTTTCTGCCCTGGTGCTTAATGCTATACCTACACCTGCAAGACCACGAGAGCTAGCTATCGAATCTCCAGAAACTCGAAGGGTGAATTTTGCAGATTCACCAGATTGGTCAGGAGAGGTCAGGTGAATAACCACACTTGGGTCCTGTATGCGTGTCTCACAAACACAGCACACATCCATGCCTCGAGTTGCTAGAGTCTTTGCCAACGAAGCCTGTTGGCCAATTTGACGGAGGGTGCGGACATTGAAGGCTCCAATATGTAATTTGGAGCGTGGTTTAAGGAGACCAGGGACACTGTTCTGTGGACTCAGATCGTTGTCGAAGGCTGCAGAGGTAGGAGAAATTGAAGATGATGCAGCATCATTAATTAAGAGACGTGAAGGAAGATTAGAAGGTAATGATGGAGGAGGAGGATAGCAGTCAGAAGAAACTTGGGTGCTGACAGAGTTGTGAGGGCGGTTGACACTTCCCGGCTGCCCACACCGTGGAAGGCTATTTCTTCTTAAGGTACCTGAAAGAGATTTGTGTGACCGCAGAGCCCATCGGACATCTGCTTGAGGCCTGTCACACCCAGCCTTTTGAGTATGATTATTTTGAATTTTTGTATTTTTGGGGCCGGATGAGCGAAAGGAAACGACAAGTGAACCAACACCGCCGGCCCGGCAGACCGTGGGGCGTGGTGGAGTGTGTTATTTTTGGGGCCGACCTTTTCTAACCCCCCCTTCCACTGAGAAGGCAGCATCAGCTTGGCACTGCTGGTCATCCAAGGGAAACACCTTACTGCTGTCACACCCCATCCAGCTAGCAGCAGTACGACTTCGCCCTCAGACCCCCATCATAGTATAGCAATTTACACTATGACGGTAACTGCTTTTCGTCTAACCACTACCCAACAGACCTTTCTGGTATGGTAGGACCTCGAGGGAACAAGCGTTCCACCAGCATAGCTCGTTGGGTCATTGTGATATGCAAGCCCGACCACCACGTCAAGGTAGCAGCTATCGGTCGGGCGGGGAATAAATAGCTCGAACTGCAGTCTTGCATGCTGACTAAATGAACTAGCCACTAAGCATGCACATACTTTCTGTTCATTCTCTTCTTCAATCGATACAATGACCTATAAACAGTTAGTGGTTACATAGTATTACCTGTAATACTGTTGCTATTATTACGGAGATGCTATAATTATTTCGTATGAAAATAATGTACATGGGATAACTTTTTCGAAACACCATTGTAGATCTTGTAGTACAATAGTTTATTAACCTAACCCTTTTTACCATCACATCAAGATCAGTATGGGACCACACATTATTGTGTAACCGTCGATGTTGCCACACCTCAGGCAATGAAATAGAAAATGAAGCAAGAAAGAAAAACCTTTCAAAGGAAGTAGAAGTAGAAAGTAGTAAAATGGAGGGGGAAGGAATGAGAAAGTGATGTGATCAAGTGAGGATAAATTGTGTACACATTTAAACCACTGACATCGGTTCTCAGCTATGTGATCGCCTAAAATTTCCAAGAACCACTGGTTTCTCTTGTTCAGTCGACCCCAACCGGCTAGTCTGCATCGCCCTACATAGCTCAAATGAACAGTTAAGGACTCGATACTATGTTTTAGTCTGTTTTAGTCTGCCTGGAGCGATTTTCCAGTGTAAACCTACTTCAGCTAACATTGTGCGACAAGGCAGATGGTGGTTGGCTAGGTATGTGTAGCACATGTCCCAACCATCTCAGTCGATGAAGGTTGACAATAGCATCAACTATCTTACCTCTCCTGCCTACAACTCTACGTCTAACTTCTGCGTTTCTCACGTGGTGATACCACGAAACCCTTTTTACCAATTAAAAGTTGTGTATTTAAAAAAATTTCTTTCATATGTATTCTCATGCCATTTAATAGAGCTACAACTCAGTACAATGACCAAAAGTTGGCCTTAATGGAGGCTGAAGAGGAGATGCAGTGTCTAGAATCTCGACTCACTTATGCTCGAAGTCATTTACGCCGTCTGCAACGTACAAATGTGCTTAACATTGCTTTTCCTATTTGGTATGATGGTCATATTGGAGTAATAAATGGTTTACATCTTGGTCGTTTGCCTAATCGTCCTGTAAGTCTTAACTAATGAAAGCTATTATTATGTCTTTCAAATTATTATACAAATCCATTTGATTATTACTACTGGATGATGTTGAAGGTGAAATGAGAATTTGGACCGCGGCCAGAGTCGAACCAGCGACCACTGGGTGTCCGGTCTGATCCTCTACCAACTGACTTCGTTCAGTTATTGAGTAGTAAACAGAAACTGATACTCATTGTACAAGAGGTGGCTTAGTGGGTAACCCTTTGATGTTTGAAGCGATGGGCACTGAGTTCCAGTCTCAGTGAGGACAACTTTACTCAATAGGATGCAGGTAGGTACATCCGGCTGACGAGTCTCAAATAGAAGGTAAAACACTTCTTGGATTCTACTGCTATTCACCAGGCAGACAGCAATATCACTTGAGTTTTCGTTTATTTTTGAGGCAGTATTACTCTGTAAACAACAATACAAACATATTTTCAATGGTGTCATCAACGACATGTGCAAATTCCAAAAGCATTGGATAAGGACGTTTTCGCTTTGTGAAGATTTCAAGTGCAGTTGTCAGTTCAGGAAACACATTCATTATTTTGACCATCACTTATCTATATCTTTCATTATATGCCCAATAGGGAAGCAATTTTTTAATGATTGGCGAAAACGTCTTGGCTTAGCGACAGCATTATACAGTTTTCTTGACTGATCGAAATATGAAACGGCTATAGTCTTTGAATTTGTACTCAAGAGATTTATAAGGTAACGAATCCTCATTTACCGATGGAGATATGAATCATCTCTATCAACTTTGAAGTTTCTTGTCGTAATTTTTATTATGAGCAGTAATATCGACTGAGTAAAGATCATATTATATCTTTCTGCTAAAAATAACTTGGTCACCATGGAAAGATATATCTAAAACAATTCCTTTAGCTCTTTACGTCATTTTAAATTCCGACATTTCGCTTACACTCGGAGTTCATCAACACCTTCAAAAAGTCTATAAGCCTAAGAATAGATCTTAGAACCGCATATTTTAAGTTATAAATGTCATACTTTGCAGATATATTTGAATTCCTTTATAAGTTTTTCAAAGCACCACTGTTCTGCATGTTTTTTTTTGGGATGACTATAAAGTGATATATTCAACTATCGTAATAATCAATCCAACTGATCCACTAAGCAAAATCTTTTTGTATATATACATTTAATGATATTATCAGCTGTAAAGTCATTTCTGTTGGTTTATAAAAGTGTACTATTCAATTACATTTACCTATTTGTATGAAAGGTCGGTTGGGAAGAGATCAATGCTGCTTGGGGACAATGTGCATTGTTATTGCAATGCATTGGAAAAAAATTGAATTTTACTTTTCAAAAGTAAGCAATTAATAGATTCGTTGCTTTATAAATTACTTTGTTAAAATTACTTAGGAATTCATTAATATTTAGCTGAGCGATTCGACAAGGTATGCAGCAACGAGTATCAAGCAAAAACTGATACTCCTAGTGGCATAGTGGGTAACGCTTTCATGTTTGAAACAGTGGGCACTGAGTTCGAATCTTATTGGAAACAACATCACTTAATGGTTTGTAGGTATATCCAGCTGACGAGTCCAGAACAAGACGAAATGCGCGTGCGAGATTCCACTGTTGACTATCAAGCAGCTATCTACATGCTCAGTAGTCGGGTAGTATCGAGGCATCCGCAGAGGAGCCCATATGTCAACAGAGATCGAGCAGTCGAATCCGGTATAGCAAAAGGTGATTACAAGTATCAAACAATATTTAGCCATATTTAACGGCTGTTGTGTTGTTAATTAGTTATTTCGGATCCCGATAGTTCAATGCTTAACAACTTGAATGAATCAATGAGCGAGAACTCTGCTGTTTGATATGTTAACAGTCAATCAACAAGACATTCTAGACCTAGGTTTCCTATCTTTCAGCACTCATCAGCAAGATGTATCCATAACTTTGAAAGAGCTTATGTTCCCTCTGTCATTCAGTGGTGAATACTAAGCTGTCCATAATAGAATTAGGATCATTATAGAATTCGATCACAGCATTATTATATCGTAATCATTTTTGTTTATGAACTTGTTATTTAATAGATGTGCCAGGTTCATCTGTCTATCTTTTTTGGTTATGTTAGTATAATTGTCAGTTATATGACAGATTTTGCATGTTCGTGGTAAAAAGCTACTCACAGAAACACCAATATTCAGTGATATATAGATACATTCGTCCAATGAGCTCTTGGAGGGTGTTATTGTGTTTATTAAGTCATACTACTAACCACTGTGACGTAACATTTGTCAATGGCGTTTTGAAAGTCCCTTCGAACTACGTGGCGGCGTAATGTTGGTACATTTTTTGGCACTTGGGTTCTCATGTAATGAAGTAAATCTTTCATTTTAATAGTTCTGCATACTTGGGTATGTTCATTTTTTAGGATGATAAGTTATTGTGGATTACCTCGTATGAATTTATTTCTGTCACTTATTTAAGTAAAGCGTGGAGCTGTAGCTCATTGGTTTATAGTAGCAAACTTTCATGTACTAGGTCAAGAGTACGAAGCCCGCTCCACCTAACGATATTTAGGGGACTAGGTAGTATAATCAGCCGTGACATAATGGATGTGGCTGATTGCCTACTGCACGAATATCTGCAAGTTTGTCGAGTGCAAGCGATGTAAGTGTAACGGACAATCGATCAGTAGTTGTGTGTGAGGACTGATGTTAGCAACAGATTTATGAATTATCATTCACAATATTCATCTGTAGGTGAAAGAAATGTAAAAAGAAAAGTTACTAGCCACTGTACTCAAACCATTCAGTTTGATAGATAACACTAGACCAACTGTAAAAAAACTGGTAAGAAAGTTGTTGTACAATCAAATTCAATGATATGTTGTATATAATGAAACTATGATCATCATAGTACTCTAGATTTACTTTTCATTGATACTAAGTGTATAGGTAGTATATGATTATTATATTATTTGTCCCTTGAGTTCCTAGTGGAACATAGGGCTTCAGTAGCATGTCTCCATTCCACTTTGTTCTCTGAAATCTTTTAACCTAGCTCCATGACTGCCCAGAAGCTTTCGTTTCTCCTCCATGTCACGCTCAGATACCCAACTCATCGTTTCCCCTTTGAATTCCACGTGAGGACTTGGCTCGTGATGTTCCCAGTCGATCTTCTCAGTGTATGCCCAAACCATCTCCACTATCTTCTGCATATTTATTGGGTGATAGGTAGTTGGTTGATTCATTACCAGAGTTCCTTATTGCTTATTCTTTCTGGCCATCTGATCCTCAGTAACGAGCCAATGTAGGCAGTTGTTGATGAATATCTGTAGTTTGTTGGAAATGCTTTTCGTAACGCGCCAAGTTTCTGAACTATATAGAAGCACTGACTTGACATTGGTGTTGAAAATCTGGGTCTTGTTCTTTGTGCTGAGTGGAGTGCAGTAGATCTCCACACTGGTTTCATGTTAATGAACGTTTAGGTAGTACAGTTGTGCAACCTTGGCATATTGTTTCATTCACTCGGTCTTCAATCAGTATATGTATGCATAATGAGTTTGGAGTTCATGTCGCTTACTAAAGATTATATTGACGAACTAGGATCATTATCTCTCATACAACAGTAATAGATTTTGGCTTAGTGCTCAATGTCATTAATGACTTACATTATTTTTATTAGATACAATAGCTCAACTTTTTAGACAAAGTTTATCTAGATAGTAAGTCTACTGTAAACTTTTTTTGTTTGTTTATTTTTTTTTCCGCATGCACGTTAAATTAACTAATAAGTTATCGTATTGTACCAATGGGAAGTCAATCAAAAATTATTCAATTGTCAATATCTAAAGAATTTCCGCTTTATTATACTACAGGCGGTATGAGATTGTTAAGTGCTGGCAAGTAAGTTGAAATATCTAAGTACATAACTACTACTGTATATCATAAAATTGTGTTTCATACAGTTGGCTATCGCTCAAGCAACAATTAAAATTGATGGGTTTATATAATTCCCTAAAATTTTTAATTTTTTTACTTGTCATAATTTACTCTTTTTTTTTATTTATTGTACATCAAATTTTTTTGATGAAATATTATTGTTTGTTGGACAGCAAGTATTGTACATCTAAATTACCCCTTCATCAGTAGTTAAAATCCCCCGTGAGACGTGTAGCTATCGTAATCTCCTTGAATTGGTGATTTGGAATTGGCTAACTGACAATTCTTATCTCATTCGTTTCATTTATTCGTCTTTAAACTCAATGAACAATAGCAGTGAACCTGACAAACCATTACTACAAGGTAAATCCACCTACCGCGTTCCAAATAGGACGAAACATGCGTCGTGGATTCCACTTCTAGCCCCTATCTATCCCTCCCTAATATAAAATTTGAACACTGACACTATCAAGGCATCCGTACAGAAGCCAATATGCCAATACAGACTGACCATCTCGATCCAATCAACAGCGGGATAATTCAGGTAACAACATGAAAAATGTACCCTCTGCACGGATAATGACTATCATGACTCTGTGCCCTAGTAGATAACTCTTTGGCGTTTGAAGCGATCGATCTAGGGGCAGAGTCTAAGTGGGAGCAGCCTCGCTAACTGGGAAGCAGGTATATCCAGCTGACGAGTCCAGAATTAGGACGAAATTCGCGTTCTGGATCCCACTACTAGCGACTGTCCATCATTAAATTAAAATTATTTATTTTTTTAAGAAGTATATAAGGATTTAACGTTTTCAAGAGTAACAATACTCCCCAATTGTTCAAAGTCATGAAAAGTGAAAACAAAAAGTCCAAAATCGAAATCTGTTCAGCATCCTTGCACATGTGCAGGCAGTGAACGATGAGTTACGTCTGTTGTGCGAAGGCTGATGAAATTACCTACCTATCTGTTGAAAGTCAGCCGTCTAGACTTATGATCCACAGGCTTAACGAATATCATAAGTACAATCTAAAGAAGTTCTGGTTGGGTACTTTGAGAAGTAACATCAACAATCGATCAGAATATTTTCCTAGGACTTGAGGTTTCAGTCGTGTATATTGGTTTTGAGTTGTGAAGAAATACAGGTATTTACTTTCCTTCCATTTTCTATTCACTTTGATTCTATGTCCCTACAAATTTGTTTTAATTTTTTCGATTGTGTGCACTTTAATTTCTTTGCTAATTTATTATTATCGAAATTTGAAACCTTTAAGATTACCTCTTATTGTTTCCTTACCAATCAGGCAATAGTCTCGTGTCAGATAAATCGATAATCATGAGATTGGTATTTGATTATCTTAGACTGATTATTTCATTTTTATTCTTGTAGTTTTTACCTGCCTCTTCTACAAGGTAAACTCGTAATTTCTTTTTGTGATCTGTTAATTCATGATTTGTTATTGTTACTATTTTCTTTTCTTCCCTCTCCAATAGATTTGATACAGCTATGATAAATTTTCTGGATTGCGTGAATCAAATTCAAATTCTTGTGGAGCATTCATCTAATATACAACTACCGTATCGTATAAAGGAGAAAGGGAAATTACAAGATCCTGATGGTCAAGTTTTTTCGATCAGGTTAGTAGCTGTGTAACTATTATTCTGTTCACACCGTGTTCATATGTGTGAATGAGGGAGATATAGAGAGACACCTGTGCGTATCATATAAAATAGCTTTCAGAACGTAGAAAGCGTAGTAGATTTAAAAATGTTACATTGCATACGAGCTCTGAAAACCTAGTATTACTATTACTCGTCATAGTAAGGTGGCTCACAGTTACGTGGTGTGGAAAGTCAAAAGAAACTTACTACGATATATGTCAGACAGGCTGGTGAAGTCAACATAGAACCTCGCACACAACTGCATCAGCTCAAGTTGCCACATTTCACAGCAACATGCAAAGAACAAGTGGATAGACAAAGACTGACATCAAAGTAGACTAAACTGTGCGAGAGAACACAAACCTTGAAGATAGAGGTTAGTGCGATTATTCAAACTTTAGAAGACGTCAAGGAGTGAATACATTTGTGCCACATTGACCGATTTTCAGTCATACCACGAAGATTATTTAACCACTTATTTCCATCATCTTGGGGACCCCAGCCAGGGAGTCTACATAGCCCCACACGATGTAGACCAGTAGTAAGGGACTTCATGGCCCGATGACATGTCTTAATTTGACCGTACTAAACCGTCTTCGAACCTAATCCAACTTGTACTATCATTGCATGTTGAGATGGGAGTGGATCGACTTGTGTGACATATATCCAAATCATCTCAATTGACTTAGTTTCACAAACTCATGAATCGACTTGCCTCCTTTGGCCTTCACCTGACCTCAACATTGGTCATTCGATGATTTCACCAAACATGATCAATTCTACGAGGGCATCTGTGATCGAAACTGTGTGACCGCTTCATGTCATTTGCTTTGAATGGCCATGTGTGACATTTGTGTAACAGGCTAGAATGGACTACAGCTCAGTATACTCATCGTTTGATGGATAGTCGGATGTGTTTCCAGTTGTGAAATGTGTAAGTTGGCTTGTGTATCCGAGGTGAGATTTTGTCAGCAAGCGACTCATTGGGTTTGATGCAACTTCGTAAGTGAGTGAAGTGGTTGAGATATTTGTCCACTTCAGTCTTTCTCATTAAACTGTGAGTTGTTACAGACCAGTCGTAGAGTATTGTAGTTGGCGTTGGCGATAAAAGTGGATATAAGTAGTATATGTTGAGAGGCTGGCAGAAATCATAAGGAATCACCAGCAATCAATAAGGACTCTACCAAGAGAAACTCAAGCACAACACAGGCGTATGAAGAGCGAATCAAGAGAAGCAGAAGAGGAAACGAAGCACATTTTCCAAATGACGATTTTAGTGCAAAGTGTACCATATTTAACGACTGCTGTACCACTTGTTGACAATAAACTTTCCTTCATTCGTTTCGGTCTTCTCGTCTCCTTACAGTATTATCTTATAATTGACAGTTGCCAGCGAAACGCTCACGAAACCTAATGAGTGCCGACTGCCTCCAGCCAACCAACATTATTGTCAGTCATTTGAATTAAACTCAATGATCATCAGAGAAAAGTTGTCGTGACTGTTTACACAAAGGAATTGTTCTTACCACAAGTGTCTGAAGGTTTGTGATGGCTTCAGATAATTTTTATCTATATCATATGACTTACCTTACTCTACGTTTCACTGTTGAGCTTCTGTAATTATAAGACTGAATTCCTACGATAATGAGTCTTAAAATGAAGTAAAGACAACATGATAATCGGCAGACCTTCTCCTATCTTACAGTTAAACGACTGCTACTTCTAAGCTGTAAGGGGTGACGTGATAAGTATGAAGCGAACCACAGACCAAATGTCTCGTAGAGTGGTATCTTTGATCAATTAAACGTAACGTATTAAATCATGCTTCTCTTTTTCCTCACTTCCCTTTTTACTTAATTAGTTACTCGCTTGAGCTAAAGTGGGAAAACAATAGGATTATCAGGCGCAAATTCCATTCACTCTTCAAACCGACCTTTCACTTAACTTAAGGAAATGTTTCTAGCGAAAAATTGAAGTGACATTTAAGCTCTCTCAGCAACCCTGTGAATATTTATGCCGAGTCACTACCTACCTCAACATCGTGCAATGTTAAAGGCAGTAAGATTAGATTGCAAGAGGGTTCACGGTGGCCAAACCAAGACAATGGACCAGTCCGTGAAGTCCTTCACTGTTGGTCTGAGCCATGAGAACAGTTGTAGATTACTTCATTGAGGAGAACAAGACAATAGAAATAAGTGGCTGAAAACTCTTGGCGATATGGCTGCAAATCGATCAATTTGGCACAGATAAATAGCACCAACCTCCATCTTCAAGATATTTGTTCTCTCGCACAGTTTAGTCTACTTTGATGTCAGTCTTTGTCTATCCACTTGTTCTTTGTATGCTGCTGTGAAGTGTGACAACTTGAGCTGACGCAGTTGTGTGCGAGGTTCTATGTTATTTCTATCTCTGTTATTCACTAGGCATTGAGCTAGAGAGATTGTATGACAGGTAATGATGCTACTTGGCTAACCAAACATCGATAGATGAAGCGTGGTTCGAACCGTTATTCTGTTCATCGGAAGTCAACTACCTTGACTTATGAGTCACCGCAGCTGCAAAAGCTTTTTCTTCGTTATTACATAACGTAGTTTATGTCTGATTTTCATTCCTTGTTGGTAACCTCCTCAGCCTTTCTTCCCGAGTACCCTCTGCTGTAGACGAAATGTCATCAACAAGAGTCACTATTGTTTTATATATTGCTTTACTTATCAAGTGTTTTGCAAAATGCTATAGTGAGTCTTGTTTGATCGCTCTGTTAAAGTCTGTATATTTGGACGAAACCGTATCTGACTATTTGCTTAGTGATAATAATTAGATTGAATGAAATAATCACTCCTTATCACTATTGCCTTATTAGATGGAATGGTAATTCTGAAGAAAATTGGACAAAAGCCTTAAAAATGATGCTGATCAATATGAAGTGGATTATCGCCGCACTATCTGCTCGAAAGAGTAAACAACGCCTGCCAACAACAGTGAAACCACCTGGTGTACAGTCGACTGCTAGCACCTCTGAAACCTAATCAATAATTTGTAATGTAATTTGATAACTATAAGGCCATGTAAATACATGATCTTTTCATTAGATTTATTTGTGTCTATTTTCTTCTTTTTTGAAGTTTTTTTTGTTTTAATCTGTTAACATTGTTTCGTTCCGCCTTCTTAAAATTATTTGGTTATTTATGCATAATTGACATATGGTTATAACTAAATACATTGTGGTTGAGTCGTTTTGAGTTCCCACTCAACAGACTATAGATAAGGAGTATTAATAATAGAAGGAGGGGGCGTGTATGCATGTAAGAGAGATATATTATCGTTTCGTATACTTGAAACTATTGCCTACCTACAATTACTCAGGATATCGTGCTTAGTATATTTTATAATATGCATGCTTCGTTATTGTGAGAGAAACACCCTATTAAATATGGTTTTGAAATCGTGCTACTGAATTATATGAGAATAAACCGTAGTGGCTTTTAAATCCAAACCAATTAGAGAATTGTAAGTCTTTCTCGGTAGAACCGAAGGTGATAGATAGCTTGTGCCTACTCTCCTTAGATGTATTCAAGAATCAAAGCAAACTAGTGTCCTCAGCCTTCTGGCTTTTTTTGCTTCTAACAAGTAGACTGAAAGAAAAACTGATAAACTTTGACTATGTAAGCACTTACATTTGATTGTTTTTCAACAACAATGTAAATAGTAACGGGAATTACCAGGAATTTCTTCGAAAGACAATTTCACGAAAATATGACTGGAAGAAGAAAATTATCGATTTAATTCTCATTTACATTATATTATTATCCATTAAATTGATCAGTTTTTCAAAGAATTTATTAACAGTAATTAAGAGACTAAGTTTATATATATATATATATATATATATATATATATATATAGAAGGGACTAATTGTGTAACAAATTTTTGAAGAGAAGACTGCCACTATGCACTGTTAAACGAACTCAAAGTGTACAATCCCATGTGAAATTGGAACTTTACGAATCGACCTCATACTTCCGGGACATATATTAATCATGTATAGTGGCTAGCAGTGGAATCCAGGACCTGCGTTTCGTCTTGTTTGGGACTCGTCAGGTGGGTGTACCTACCTCCCAGTTAGTGATGTTGTTCCCACTCAGACTTGAACTCGGTACCGTTATAGATTCCACTACTGGCCACTATCCATCATTAATATATAATTAAAACACAGGTAATATCGAGGCATCTGTGCAAGAGCCCATATGCCAATGGGGACCGATAAATTCGGTCCAATCAACGACGGGATAATACCAGGAACAATATTACTTCCCAAACAATTTTGCAAAATATTGCAGTCCACTTATTTGAAATTCAACTTTTCAAATCTTGCAGGTGGATTAAACGTGTGCCTAAATGCCTCCAGAAACAAATAGAGTTTGAAACTTTTCATACATGCCGGTGGAAAACGTCCCTCTCCCTCTATAGACAAAAATATTATGGAAACGGGTCACGAAGTTCATGTTCAAACAGCTTTCTAAGTTTTATGGAGAAACAGTCAGTGACCCATACTGAGCTTTATGGAAGGTTGACTATACCCGAATTGAAACCGTCATTGATTCACTCTTCTTTTTTGTTCTTAATTTTCATTCCCTATTTATGATGTCAGTTGTTTTATTTGTTCTCCCATGCTTCAGTTTTTTGTGGATTGATTTGGTAAGGGAATGTGTTATCAGATTGTTTGAAGTGTATTGCACTGACATGCCACATATTGTTCACATGAATATCGTTCGCTAATTTTATCATCTAAAATCTTGTTCAACTTGTGAAATCTCACGTAGATAATTGCTGTGAGAAGTTATGCAGTTCAGTTGAAATGCAAAATCATGCTTTATCTCTGTTGCAGGATATCTCTCCTACTTGCCACGCTAAACTCATCAATTTTTGTAATTCTGTTATCAGTATAACGAAAGAAAGAACAAGACAAAAGTTTGTTTAGACTTCGTTTTAATGACATCCATGCAAACTCCTTTTTATTTGTCCTCAGTTGTACTCTCTGTGCATAAGGAGGCAATCTCTCTTGGATTTAGTTTTTCAGTTGCATACACGAAAATTTCTCATTTGGATATCGCATTCTCACTATCAAAGTCTCTCTATGATCAGTTGAGTCCTCTTATCTCAACGTTTTCAGATAATATCAAAGTTGGTTGTAAAAGCTAAATTAGTTGATATTGGTCGTTAATTCCATTGTTTACAATCGAGAAAAAGAAGCAGTTTTATTACAAAATTCTTAAAATCTTTTAAAGAATTACTAATTACAGCTGACGTGATTAGTTTTCCTCTGAAATAATAAATGGCATAATTTTTATTAGGCCATTGCATTACGATGATATAACGAGCAAATTCAATAATTATTTCTTGTTTTGCTAACGAAACAAAGTATCTATGATATATAGAAAGACAAAATCGACGTAGGACCTTGCACACAACTGCGTCAGCTCAAGTTGCCACAATTCACAGCAACATGCAAAGAACAAGTGGACAGACAAAGACTGACATCAAAGTAAACTAAACTGTGCGAGAGAACACAAACCTTGAAGATAGAGGTTAGTGCGATTATTCAAACTTTAGAAGACGTCAAGGAGTGAATACATTTGTGCCACATTGACCGATTTTCAGTCATACCACGAAGATTATTTAACCACTTATTTCCATCATCTTGGGGACCCCAGCCAGGGAGTCTACATAGCCCCACACGATGTAGACCAGTAGTAAGGGACTTCATGGCCCGATGACATGTCTTAATTTGACCGTACTAAACCGTCTTCGAACCTAATCCAACTTGTACTATCATTGCATGTTGAGATGGGAGTGGATCGACTTGTGTGACATATATCCAAATCATCTCAATTGACTTAGTTTCACAAACTCATGAATCGACTTGCCTCCTTTGGCCTTCACCTGACCTCAACATTGGTCATTCGATGATTTCACCAAACATGATCAATTCTACGAGGGCATCTGTGATCGAAACTGTGTGACCGCTTCATGTCATTTGCTTTGAATGGCCATGTGTGACATTTGTGTAACAGGCTAGAATGGACTACAGCTCAGTATACTCATCGTTTGATGGATAGTCGGATGTGTTTCCAGTTGTGAAATGTGTAAGTTGGCTTGTGTATCCGAGGTGAGATTTTGTCAGCAAGCGACTCATTGGGTTTGATGCAACTTCGTAAGTGAGTGAAGTGGTTGAGATATTTGTCCACTTCAGTCTTTCTCATTAAACTGTGAGCTGTTACAGACCCGTCGTGGAGCATCATCTCTCATTTTATACGTACGAGCGAGATTTAAGCCAAATAGATTCAAAACTCTCTGCAGATTCTCTGCAATGATCTTTGGTAGTCAGTTGTTTGACTTCTGAATTTAAAGTTTAATGTATCGCAATTTGGTACTGGATCCTTAGTGGTTAAGAACTGCTCGTTTTACGCTGGCTGATGGCAATTTGGGGCTTTTTTACACACTTAGTCGCAAAATGCATCCTTTTAAGGGTATTTGAAATGTTAGATAGGATATTTGCAGGGAAAAAACCAATATCTGTAATTTCTTCATTGTTTTCTTAATTATTTCGATAGACTTTCTTCAGGCTGATGTGTTTAACAGTGAATTATGCTATATCATTTTCTGATTACTCTATTTTCGTAAGATAAAATTAAGAATATAATTTGGCAGTATTTAGCCACCTCTTCAGTGAAAATGGTAAAAGTTGTGATCACTTAAATGCGAAGTGTTCTCTATTAGCACAGAGTTGGTGGTGACTTTTTTCTGTGCGTGGATATGTGTGTAACCGAATATGAGTATGATTGTGATAACAGCTGTGATGAACTCTATCCTTTATCGTATATTTGACTAAGAGTCCTAATTACTACTACCTGTAGGATAGTTTGATTGATGAATAAATGAAGTGGACTGCTGAGACTTTGTACTCTCTTACACGAATTATCAATTCATGGTATAAAGCTCATATATGTTTAAGTGTGTAGTTAACCCTATACAAATTATTGCCTAATAAAACCATATCACAGAGCACAAAAAACCTCTATTTGGTTATTGAACAAGAAAAGGAGGTTACAGCGTAGATAATTGTCTCTTCATGAACTAATTTTTCACAGCTGCACACTCGTGAATATATAAGTAAAACGAAAGAATGTTCCAGAAAGGTACCCCACCAAATGTCGAACTTAAGCGATAGATATGAATGGGAGGATATTACATAACAGAAGACATGATCGCAATAGTTTTTATAAAATGCAGTGAATAGTAAGTTTTGGCGTCGTGTAAAAAAAACTTTGAAAATTCATACCTCGATTTTATATTCAAAAGAAAAATGTACTAACACTTTACTATTGCCTTAAACAGATACTCCCCAGTCGTGCTTATGATTTTATTTATCTATTTATTTGTCTATGTAATTATTTATTTTCAGGTTAATGGGTAATATTCATCAAGAACCGACATCAGCTGGAGAACCATAATAAACCTAGAGTCATTTGAAAACTGTTCCGTCCTACTGTGGGACTTTGCTGCAGTACGCACCCGAAACCTGTCTAGGGATCGAACTCAGGACCTTCAGGTTTCACGACAAACGCGTCAACCATTCAGCCACTGGGTGTCAAGTGCTCCGTAGTGACATGCTTCCAGATGTATAACCCCAAAGTTCTAATGAGAAACCGTGGCCTTTGGGATCGACCAATCGGAAGTGAAGCGAATGCCATCTTAAGACCTTGGATGATAGTCGCGTTATATCGCAAATTGACAGAAGTAGGAAACTATGCACCTTTAAACTCTGGATGATTAACGCGTTAGCCGTTGACCTTAGAATCATGAGTTCGACGCATTGCCGCTGTGTGAGTTCGTACTGCTGAGGAGTGCCATTCTAGGATGAGATGGCTGTCCACTGCTCACATGTTTTCAATGATTCTCCAACTGATATCAGTCCATTATGAATACCACCTCAAAATTAGAATCCCCACTAACCTCAAAGCATATTAGTGTATTTTTTACTAGGTGGATGGCAGGAGTCGACAAAAAGGCCTGAACCTACGTTTCTAGCTTCTTCGCATTCCTCACCAAGGAGTATGTGTAACCTCGACGGAAGGGATTCGCCGCCTGATCTCCGAATCCGCATCAGTTTCGATGAGGTTTCAGATACGCTTTGCTGTCAAGTATCAGTAAGCATGATACCTAAGTCCAGGGCTTCCTGTTGATTGCTTGCATCCAGCTAACACCTGTGGCAGCGCTTTGTAATAGTGAGTCTCTTAGCCTTAATGGCTGCATTGTGGAAATGATCGATATTTTCGGTCAGCCCTTAGGACTAGACTGCAAGAAGTTGGTTACTCTTCAGAGGCCAATCAATGTACGCTGTATTTTTCTTATAATTCAGCATGTTGTAAAAAGTACCTAGTCTGACATCCGTGAATTGGGAGTCAAACTTCTGTTTATTTCTGAAAGTTGGCCTTTTGGTCAGAACAAACTCAAAACAGTTCGTCAATTTATTGGTACATATCTATGTCTGGTTACGCACAAAGGCAATTCTATCGATTTATAAGCGGTCGTTCAAACCCAAAAATCAATAAACGTAGCTATTTATAATATCTCAATCTCACCTTCATAAAGTCGAAAATATTTCAGCATGGTGGTTTATTCACCTACAAGCTATTCTGAATGACTACTTAGCTTGAGAAGTATCATCATCATCAAGAAAGCCTAACATGATATTGAAATCTGATAAACCGAATTTCTGAGCTATAATGAAATACAGTAGCACAATTAGAAATTTCTTTCGGATCATAAAGGAAATAAACATATTTATGATATCCCAGTGAGGTAGAAAAATAAATTGCTGACGTTTCATAACCTCGTGGAAGTCGATTCTTAAGAGATTAAAACCTGTACCTGCATGTGTAAATAGTAAATGACGACAAATCAGAGGATGTTCAAAAATGATACTAATATGAGAATACGTGGTATCATTATCAGTTACTAGTACGTGATTTCAAGGTGAAGATGTGAGAAAAATGCTATGGACGAATAACTGCGAACGACACTTATTCCCATATGTATTCATCTATTAGCAACGTGAACAGGTTTCTTGTCACTTACCATCTAAACATACAATAATTTGTACAGGTTTTATTCTTTGAAGAACATACTTCTACAGAGTTACGGAACTTCACAAATTCAATCTTCAGGACAAAACATACGTACGAACGGAAGTTGGAGTGAGATCGCCAATATCCTCAGTCGTAGCAGATATATTTACCGATAGTTGGGAAAACGTGGCTTTACAAACGTTCAGGGCCTGCACCTAAGACGTGGTGGCGATACGTGGATAACGCATTTACCATGTTGAAATCGGAACATATCGACAATTTCCTTATACATATAAACTCAGTAGTAGGCCCAATCCAATTCACTTACGAGGTAGAAAATGAACAAGGAGAATTACCTATATTGGATTGTAGGATAAAACGAAGGACATAAGATGGTTTGGATACTACTGTCTACAGAAAGCCGACACATTCCAACAGGTATCTACACTTCACGTCATCTCATCCAATATCAGTTAATGCAAGTTTAGTCAAATGTCTAAATGATAGAACTGGAAAACTGACTAGTCAGCGCAAGGAACTGAAACATAAAAGAATCAATAATAGTTAATAATTTTCCTCCGCAGTTTATTAAAAAATTCGTACGACCACACTAGAAACGAAAAAATAACAGTAACACGAGTACGAATAATTACGACAACACAAGTAGAAAGGAGTTAACAGCCTCCATTGTGTTACCTATGAGGAAAGTAGATCAGAAAACTTACTTCAACAAAGCTGGAATTGGGGTGACATTTAAATCTAAAAACTCAGATAACCTTTGTCAGCTGGC